CGGAACCCCATGCCCCCCACGGAACCCCATGCCCCCAGCCTCAATTAATTTGCTTTCAGTGCCCCTTGAAAATGTGTAAGTACTCAGGGCCCCATGCAAGCTCATGCCCTAAAGAAATCCATGTCAGCGTGACATCAGATGTTTTGTTCTTGACTAACCGTGCCTTTTTGAAATTCCAAACAACGAGGAATGTTCTCTCCACTGCACATGAAAGACAGAGTTTTACCTTTTAATGTATTATGTAACATTCAGTTTGTTGAATTTAGTCACAGTTCAAGTGGTTTTGCTGTTTTCGTTTTCTTTCCTTTTAGCAACTAGTCTGCTCATACCCCAAAGTTTACAAACATAATATGCTTGATTTAAAAACTGAGAAAAGACTTAAAGGTGGTTTTTTGTCCTGTGCCTCCCATAGGATCACCTGATGGACCCACTAAACTGTGAGTTGATGAACCTAGATGTACCGATCACAGTGTCACCCCAACCAGGCAGTAACCCATTGTTTGGAGGCATCTTGGACACATCACCACTCAAGGACAACCAGTCATTGACAGCCATGAGTGAAACACAGTACTCTCAGTTCTGTAGTCCCAGCCGAACACCAGTGACAGCATTCATGTGACGCTAGTGAAACCATAGGTAGATTTCTTAGCACCCTGTTGAAATGTTGACACTGTGGTTTTCTTACATGCGGTTAATTTTCAAAATATATCCATTTTTGTTTTAGTTTTGGAGCTTTTTAAATATTTGCGTGGACGGAACTAAAGCTCACATGGTCTGAACTCACCCTGATGTAGCAGTTTTGCTGCCCTTGTAGTTTAACCTTGGGAGTGGGGAAACAGTTTCAAACCTAGCATGAAACCCAGACTGCCATTAATTTTCAAGGGAATAAAACTCTGTGATTAACAGTGTGGTAGTATACAAATATAACATGGTTTGAGGTTGGATGGTCAGTGTTAGTTTCCCACCTTGGGTACTAGTTTTATCAACTTCCAATACCTCGGGGAACTAACATTGACTGTCCGATCAGAATAAACCATGTTATATTTGTTTGACCATACCTCATACATATTTTATTTAATAACCTCTAAAAAAAGTCATCTTTAATTGTTTCCACGAACTTTTATTTGTTCCTAAGGTTGAAACACAAACGCTTCATCTTTTGTGATTTACATTTATTTTACACACAAGAATGCATGCAGACCATCGCTAGGCTGGCACCACCACGAGTGCAAAGCACACCTGGATGACAGTTCCTGGATTTTCTGCTACTGTGCTTGTGTTTTTTTAATTGTCACCCGGGTAAGCCGGGCAACATTTGAAAATGCATGCTTATTTACTCCTTGCGCGAACGATTGCATGTGTTCTTGGCAAACAGCAATAATAGTCGCTGGTGTGTGACCGTGAATGAGCCAATGAGAGTTTGGTGATCCGTCATGAATATGTAAGAAGTATAGTAATCAACAATAAGCCACTTGCGAGTTAAATTTGAATAAAATCTGGTACACTGTGAAACTTGACAGTTTGAATTCCCCAGACTTAAGACACTCATGATTTGGGGCAAGCTTTTGCATAGTGACCACCATCTCTGGAATGGACTGGTTCCTTTGTGCCGTTCTTATCAGAACAGTGTATTGGTGTAAGGCATCTCTTATAGTAATGAAGCAAAAGTTTGCCCCGAATCACGAGGTATAGCAACAGTGGTTTTAGTATGGAAAATTCAAGTTGCAGTGTTCACGTAAATTTAAAGAACTCAGTGTACCAGATTTTATTCAAATATAACTCACAAATGGCTTATTGAGTTTTTTTATAGTGAACAAGAGAAAAAGTTAAAATACAAAGACTTATTTGTTGATTATTTCACGCTTTTGAAATTGTAATAAATCACTTCTTCCTCGAAGGATTTTGAAACAAAAAGGTGCCATGTGATTTTACTGGAAGGATGAGCTGAAATTGTCTGAGGTTTCAATTAAAGATGTAAACTCTTACTGGGTGATTGAATCTGAATGTTACTCCGTTACATCACTCTTTCAAATTTTGCAAGTGGTGTTCATTTTAGACTATGGAAGCAGTTAATGTCTCTTTGGTGTATCGCTGTTTGTGTAACAGAATGTGTATTTATGTCTTCTTCAATTCTAAATCCAAGATTTTGATTAGTGGATATTTCAGTAATGTTTGTATTTGGTCGGAAAACATTCCTTGGAAAGTGAGTCAAATTCATGGACTTAACTTGAAACATTGGTCTCGAAAAATCCCTGCTGAAGAGTACGTGTAATTCAAACATGTTTATACAGATTATAGTTTTTGCAAAAGGAATGTAAAAACCAATGAGCTTATTAATGAAATTCAGGTCATTTTTGCCACGAGTGCCTTAAAATCATGCCAAGGAAACATTTTTGGAGCAAAATCAGGGAACATAAACACTGAAGTATTTTCTAATGTTTACGTTGATAACAATCTACCAATCAAACAAAATTGGCTCAGGTTGCAACATTTTACAGGTTTCAAAAAAGGGCAAGGTAGGGTTGGAAATCACTGAATTTTGCAAACTGTGGCTTAAACTCTTGCAGGTGTATAAATGCAACAGGATTTGGAGCTTCAAAGTCAAATTCCAATCACTACTGTATTATTTTGTCAAATTACATCTCATTTTAAATGATTTTAGCAGCAAGAAAGCCTTAACTTTTTATGTAAATTTTGTAAATTAAACTAATAAGTTTTGTAGTGTGTTCCACATTTTTCTGCATGTGTTTTCCCCTAAGACTATGAAGAGATAATTACAAGATCAAATTAAGGTGAACAAATGATTCCCAGGTTAAGTCTCGAAGATTTTTCTTCCATTATTAAGCAGGGAAAATTGAAATTTGTATTCATGGCTTGACAACAAATTTTGAATTATGCTCAAATGAAGAAAGCATGAATGGTTAATTTTGTGTGAATTAATTTTGTGTGAGTTGGTTGTCAGGAAGAAGGATGAATTTGGACGTGGTTGAAAAGTGGCGTCAGTTGAAAGTAAATGAAGATCTTCAGCTCACAGACAGTATTGAATGCAGGCTTGTAGTCACTGGGAGCATTGTGCATTTTGATTTGATGGGACTTTGTTGAACATTTGTATAGCCTTGAATTTGAAACGTTTTATATGGACTACTGAAAAACCATGAATTAAAATAGTTGAGAAAATGTACAGAGGACGTGAATGATGGATCTTTGTAATCATCAGTGCCATGCAATTATTAACCAATTGAAAATTTAAAAACAGGAAAATATGAAGGTAATGATAAATTGAGAATACTGCACATGGAGAAACCATGGCCCAATGTTGAGAATTTACTGAGCAAATTTGCCTGCCCAGCAAAAGTTAGCAAAGGACCAACTTTAAGCAGTGGACATCCAGTGACATTGTGGCTGCTAACCTACACATACCTTTTTGTCAACACGGCTATCAAAGGTAAAGACTTTTTAATATGGTCCAAATATTAGAAACCTCCCAATAGATATTTAGACCAAAGAATGAGCTAAAACCCAAAATGGGCAGAGGGAAAGGGTCTGCACATTTGAGTCGATGCCAAATTTATGCGTGTAGTTTTGCCAATGACATTTCAAGCAATTTTAACTGCATCACTCTTCCACTTCCTGTTTGTTTGAATAGGAGATTGTCTCAGTTGGTTTCAGAACTTAGTTTATTCAAAGTCACTTCAATAGCTGATGGAATGAACCAGGTTCCAAAGAGGTAATTTGGGTTGCCTTCTGTATGAAGACATATGTACATACATGTACATGTTACTGTAGATTATTTTTCCACTTTTATACAGGCCAAGTGAACGTTTTTGTACACAATATCAACAAGTAATAAACATGTACCAATGGAATGTGTGACATTCAAAATTCCTTTTTGGGGGGTGCTGAACTGAGTGAAATGGTTTTATTTGTGCTTCTGTCAAACTTAAGTAGGTTTGTCTTGAGGCTTTGGCAGTAAAAGTTCAGGAATGATACATTTGTCCTTAAATTTCTTCCTAAGTATCTTGCTTTGTGTTTATTTTGTAATGCTTTCAGTACAGTTTGGGCCATGTACTGACGTCCAATGATACATGTATATGGACACTCATAGACAGACTTCTGTGATGGCACAATACAGTCACTGTGTATAGAAATACATGTACATCCATGCATGCATGCCCAAGTTTGAATGCCAAGAATGGATACAGGAACCTTTGTGGAAGTGAAGCAATTCTTTTTATGCTTTTTATATTCCTTCAAGATCAAAGGTGATCAAAACTCTGGGGTGTGGTTGTCACCACTCATGTCCATCTCCAGCAGGTTCATTTGAGGCAATTGGAACTGTCAAATTGATTTTCAGCTAAAGTGCTTGCTATCATCAAAAAAGGAATCCAATAAACATGGAGTGCAGGAACCTACTTTCAAAACAGGCATTCATTCTTGCCCCTTTGTCCAGTTTACCTCTTTCTGTTCACCTTTTCACAGTTGCCAAGCAATGTTTCTTGAATTAGCTGATGCCCTCATGCTTTACTTCACATGAACAGTATGTCATTTCTGATAGGAGCATTTGTGCAAAGTTATGAGCAGCTCAGAATTTACCTGTACATGCATGTCACTTGCACTTGTAATTATAAGTACAATGTTGTATTAACAGTGCGTTTATGAAGGAGTTGGACTAGCTAAAGTATCAGATCTCCTTGCCAGTTTGGGTTTTAATCAAGTATTGAATTGAAATTGTTCTCTAGACCATAAGTCTTACTGCACTATGCCATGGTACTACATGTACCTACTAAATTCTTCACTTGTCAGCGTCATGTATTTCTGCACCTGCAACTTGACGGACCCAACACCCACCAAAAGAGTGAAGTTTCTCTATTCTAGTTACTTGTGAGCTGGGGTTGGTTGTGTTTTGACCTGATCCATGTCATTTGTCTCACACTGTTTCCAGAGAATCCAGGGGATCTTTTTTGACATTCTCATGTCAAAGGTAGTCGAGTTGCATCCATCAAGGTTTAGAATTCAGCTTTATATACCAGTGTGGAAGACACAAAGTTATTTCAGTTAGAACTTTTGAGATAGTAGATGGGAGTATGGGATCATGAGAGTAAAGTGGGGCTAACTATAATAAATGCTGAAGTTCAACCTTTATTCCCCAAATTATACATATCAAATGTTTTCCAGGGCACTTACCTGACAGGCATATACATGTATCCCCTTTTTTTCTGAAAGATTGATCTGACCCTGTCAGATGAGTACAGCCACTTCAGCTTACAAGATTTAAAAAGGCAAGCAGGTGCATTAATCTTACAATTGGGAGAAAAATCTCAAAGGGATAAAACTTAGACCCAAACCCTGGCTTACATGTCACCTTGGTGTGATGTGATAGTGTTTCAGGGATGGAATGTGAGGGAAGGACCAAACAATACACTGACCTACATGTAACTTCCCAGAACTTGTCGCACTTACGAAACAGAGATTAAATAAATGCCTGGGAACTCTGATATGGTAAACATTACAATGAAACATTGACCTCAAGACTGAAAAATGCTTTGAAGTTTTTTATTCCAATGCTTGGAAATATTTAACTTAAAAATAGCAAACTATCCATCACTACTGAAATGTTCAAATACAAACCTACCAAGCCTAAGTGTAAACATACATAATACATGTCAATAAAAAAACACCCTGGAACAGTGCAGCCACAAAACAAACTAAAGACAAGAGATATATCTGAAAATTACATGTACATGTATTTCCATTTTCTTTCAGTGGAATTTGGTAACAAATATCCACAGTTTTTAGCAACATCAGAACTTTAGAAGCCTTAACAAACTTTCAATAAATAATGCACAATTCTAGTGTACAAATAACCACAGCTACAGACATTAACTTGAGCCAGTAGGGTGATAACTACAACCTTTAAGTACATGTATATCTCAATCGTATGTGGTCACACAGGTCTTTCCATTTGGAATGTCTACCCTACAAATAACAAGACTACATGTATAAGTTTAAAATGTCTAGCGTTTTCCAAATCATCAGGGTCTACCCGGCCCCTACCTGCATCACAGGATCAACTTAGGAATCACATCCAGCACATTGAAGCTCCCAAACAGAAAAATAAAGAACAAGTCATGTAGAGCAAATAGGCATATCATATTACACGACTTGTTTGTGTTTAGTTGCCAAGCATAAGTGTTTTCTACTCAGTACGTTGTATGCTTTGCTGTGATGCCCAAAGGATGTGAAAGCAAATGCCAGGAATGTTGACTGTTCTCCAAGCCATCATTCCTGTACTATCAACTCTCCCTGTCCGATGATCCTGAGGCAAATAATGACATAGTGCCTGAGAAACATGTAGCATACTGACATACCTACCAAGGTATTTTTTATATTTATGGGGAGAGGAGTTGGAGCAGGAACTCTCATTGATTCCTACCCCTTCCCCAAAATCTTTTAAGTAAAAAACCTTTCTGACAAAAAGAAATTTTGTTTTTAACTAAAACTCTTTGCACAAATCCCAAATATGTTGCTTATTAAAGTCAATTTCAAAGTGTAAGTTTGAAACTTTGTTATCATCCTTTCTATGACCACATCTGTGTACTTGTACACACTTTCACTGCAGGGAAAATACTTTACCCCTCCAAGAATAGAAATTCAAACAAAGTTGTTTTAAACTTAAAGCCCTGAAGAACTGAGAGAGAAGTTGCCCTAAATTCTGCTAATGACCCACACTGTGTTACACTGTCACTGAGTTTGGCTTTTAGATGCACAAAACAAGTGAAACCAGTACACATACCATGACAAACCACAGATTTACAAAACTAAGGCACTTTTTAACCGGCAAAAAAGATTAAAATTCATATGCACCACATTGAACCAGCATGACTGCCATCCACACATACAGCACTGTCAGTGTTATATAGAACCCGAAAGTTGACCCCTGATAGCGCGCCCCCGGAGCCCTTGGATAGGAAAAAACCTGCACTATTTTTTAGAATTAATACTTTTTTGCTCTGTTACTTCTAAAAAAATTCCACCTCGGGAAAAAGGGCTTTGTAAAATATTTGCTAGTATATCATTTTACAGGAGCTGAACAATTACCTGACCTACATGTAAAAGAGAAATAGCCTGCCAAAAATTGACCCATCACTTCCAGAAACCTAAAAGAGCCATGGGGCAGCCTTGTACACAGTTGAACATTTACAGTTTCACATTTTATGTTAGTCTGACGGTAAAAGCCGAAATAAAAACAGATCAAACTATTTCACTGACTTTGCTAAATTCATACGGTAATAAGGTTAAAGTAGAAATCTACTTTTACGAAAGATTCTTATATTTTATCTAACCTTTGCTGACAAGAACTGTGTCATGTCAACTCAACGGAATCTGGAACCCATCGACTGCAGGTATGTAAATCTTTGCAACGTTTTACAATCTTGTTTTCACGTAAGCACGGGCAGCGAAAACAAATGCACATGAACAAGTAGACTTAAGTACGATATCACCAGAAGTGAAAGGTCGTTAAGGAAATTCGTTTTTTACCCATATCCAGGTGACTTTTCCTCAATATTACTTGAGAAAAACAAGGGTAAAATTCCAACATGAGTGTTTCATGGGTTTGTTTGACTTGGGAATCATTATTCCCAAAGTTATCGCACATGATAGGACAGCCCCATGTAAAATCCCCATAGGCAGATCACGCAAGGGTTCCGGGAGCTCGCTGTGTGACCTTTTACTTTCAGGCTCTATTCAAGATGCTTCAAGTATATTTAGCTTAATACTTATTTCAGATAATTCAAACATGCAGTTCTTCCCGGAAAGACCCATGATTCATGAAATAGTTGTGTTTAGGGGAGCTGTATATTTTTGGATATACACTCCCCCACTGTCAGCTCCTTCAAAAGCCACTGGGATGTTTTCAAGGATTCTTTGTGTGTTGCAGGAAGCTAGAGCCCAGCGTCAATGTTACATACAGCAGGGCTTGATGTAAGTGGAAAGTTAAGACAGAAAGTATGTGCCAGGATTATGGAGGATTTAAACGGCTCCTGGCAAAAACAATCAAATGCACGGAGGATGGAAAAAATGACGGCAACATCACTGTTAATTAAAAAATTTTAATTTGGGTTAAAAGTTATGGTAAATCTAACGATGATGTTCAGACTAAACACAGTGGCGATGTCATCTCAGTAAAACAGCCAGGATAATGTTTAAACGCTCACTCTGTTCATGTTTCTTCCACTGTGTCCTCCATGGAATAAAAAGCAGTGCCTGAATTACTTGGCTGTGATTTAAAAGTACACAGGAGTCTAGGAGTGGTGGCAGCCATTATCCATAGTCGTGTGTAATCTCAACCCATAGCCAGGAAAAATGGGACACTGCCTTTACTGACTTCAATGCCAACAGGGCGCTTCTTTCATTGCTCTGATAAAGGGAATATCTAAGAGGATTTTTGTCTCTTTGATTTTCATTGGAATATACACAGACTTGGAATTTTCTGGCCAGATTTTATCTTTTTCTAATAATGTCCAAATCTGAATGGGTTCTTGGGCAAACTGCAGTTCTACTACATTTGTATCAGACTTTAACAAAGCAGACTTGACTGGTACTTATTTCTCCCTGTATTTCTGGCTTGGAATGTTAATTGGGGCAGATGCCCATTTTGGCAATCAGATGATAGTCACATCCGTTCCTCTCCAATAACCACTCACGTGGGATCTCACACTACATACTCATAATGACTAAACCTACATTAAAAAAAACATCATATATAGCTGACTGGCTCCAGAAGTCCCTCCCAACAAGGCTTACAGTAGCACCTGACGTGGCTCCCTGTACTGTGAATCTCCAACCTGCACAGAATGATATGGGTAACGAGTGCAATTGATCAACAAGGTCCCAGACAGAGGAAAGCTCTCTTCTGACAGACTATGTCCAAATCATTTGACTACGAGAGGTAATAAGAGACAAGTCAATAGACATGATTGGAGCTACATGTATTAGCAAGCAACTTCCACGGGAAAACAGCTATTTCCAGCAATAAATGAATACAGCAAAATTTAATTGTCATTCACGGTTAAGGGTCAAAGGTCAATGTTTACTTACTTATTAATTACAACATTGAGAGAAAAGCTTGTCAAATGAAGAAGAAAAGAAATGCATAAAAGCTGGTGGGCCCAGGCTGTGCTTTACAGCTCTACCAGCAAGTCTATGTTATATCTGCTGTGAACACACAACTTCAGGAAGTACAGTTGAACCATATTAATAAGAGCACTGCTAATACAAGATTCTGCTTATGACAAGGAAATTTGCTTATGACAAGGTCCCAATCCTTACTTACGGAACTGAGGCTGGTATCAATGTGGGCTCCGTTGTCGGTAGACCAGGCTGGTGGCAGCATGGAGCTTCTTCTGTTTCCATGGCAATACGTGCTTGCTCTATCTCATTGGCCATTTTTAGAAGGTGGTGGTCGTAGGGGACATCCCAATAATCGTTGCTTTCAAATTCCACTTCCTGCTATGCCAGAAGTAAGTTAAATTAACAACCAACTATATCAACTCCACAGTCAGAGAAATACAATGGTCAAAATCTCAAAAAAAAGGTGTAACTTATCTTAATCTACCAAAGCAACTTATGTTGTCCTTTTTCCACTGAGTACAACCATATACATGTACATCAAAACAATCATAATTGGAATACAGAATGAAGAATGAGCAACAGTTTTCCCTTAACCCTAACCCCCTAGGGTGTGTGTAAAATCGTATTAGAATTGGAGGATTTGGGAGTGTTAGGGTTAATGCAATATAATTGAGTTTCAACTGCCATGTTGTTCAGTTGGTAGTTTGCAGTAAATCCCATCATTCCATTTGCCCGATTCACCACACAGTACTACGCTGGTACCTTCTGATTGATTAAATCTGAAACACATGTTACCGCAGCAGTGCTAGGCATATTTTCAGACTCACAATTTTTTTAAGTGGCTGCTGAAATATTGTTTGGAAGAAACCCATATTTAAAAAAAAAGTTGTCTGGGCTTTGGAATTTAGGGCAAGTCTGGGTATGATAAAATGTGGTCATGGCTTATTATCTAGTATCAGAGCAAATTACATGATGCATTTGTTGCGAGGGCTGCATCAAATTTTGGCTGTATTTAGGAAATAACTTGTTGGTGACATGCCTGATGCTGTGGTCTCCAAAGGCATGTATTCTGTCCAGCTGTGACCACGTAATTCAGGCATGGCAAAAAAGTTGATTTTGCAGGCAACTCTAATGTGACGTGCTAAACAACACACCACTGTGTTGTGAAACTATTTCAAAATCAGTGCCGACACAGGCATAGAGTCATGGTTGAAAATTAACATCGGTCTTCCGAGATCCTTCAAAATTTACTAAGTTTGTGAGAAAATTGTAGAATTTTAAGAATGCAAAGTCATTGCATTATTGCCTTTTATGCGTGATTTGATGCCACTGAAAGTTAAAGAGTAAAGAATGTATAATCTGGATGACATGTAGGGAGTTGTGAATGTTAAAGAGCTTAGGAAGGTCCCTTCCTAGGATGCCAAGGGAATTAAAGTGTAGTTTACCTCCAGCATGTTTAACCTGTTTTGGTTGGGTTGCTCACACAAACATTGGCTACTCGTCTGCTGTTTCCAGGTATCTGTGTAGCTTGTTTCTGATTGGCTGTTAGCACTCATACCGCTGGTTGTCATGGCAGTGTCCATGTCACACGGAGTTTGGGAATGCATATCAGAATTGTGAAAATTCTGAGTTGGTGGCAATGCATTTGGCGATTGCACAATATCTGCCCCTTCAGGTTGTACTGCAGCAGGCTGTGGAAATGCTGTCTGAAAAAGTTCCTGGGAGGAGTTTGCTGAAAGGCAGTCTGGTTGGCTGGAAGCTGCCGATGCCTCATCCCGTTGCCATGGTGATGGCTGGGAATGGCCTACTGGGTGCAGCAAATGGGTGGATGGGTGCAGACAGTGTTTTTTTACAGTTGTGATCTTTGGGATGGGGAGAAGAAAAATCAAATGAGTTACTTCGTTACTTAGCTATTCACCTTAACCACTTCGTGCTGGTGGCATTTATCAATGTTGATGATGCTGGGATGGGATACCTATAACTTTTTCTGCTTTCAAAATTCTTTAAAACATATCTTCATTTACTGGACACTTACACCCACACGAAGGATTATCTGGTTCCTACTTTAATCTGACAGGCAACATCTATTGATGCTGGAGTATTTCAGCCAGGTCTGCTGCCTTGTAAAAAGAGCCCAGATTTTGTGGTGTTACGTAATTTTCTTCTGTTCACGAAACTGGCACAGTGCGCTGCTGACCTCTTTTTAATAGCGGCCAGATTAGCATGCAGCGGTACTGTGTAGCTCATTGCTGCAGTGGTGGAGTGCTTTTGTCCCCGGTAGTATTTCGCGCGGGCTGAATGTCCCCAACCGTGGTATACTGTTTCGAAACAAGGCTGGATTATCTCCACTATCGAGAGTGAAAAAATAATGGTAAATCCCAGCAGCCTGGTCTTTTGTTACGAGTACAGTCTTTTGTTACAAGGCCCAGTTCCCTTTGTCCAGACCCCAGCCATGCGTCGAAATCCCCGGCAGAAAGTGGTTAATAAAGTAGTGTATAAAATTCTTCGTCAAACAGTTCATGTTCTTAAGAGGTCCAACATCCTACTGAGTTTATGTACATGTATTTATCAGGCATACCACTAGACTGCTGTGTGGCACACATGTACCTTTTCAACGAGTTGGTCTTGCACCACTCTAGTCTGTTCAAACTGAAATCACATACATACATATAGCTTCACTTCCTGGTGCTTCCATGGTTGAGGAAGTCTCTGTAATGAATGTCACTCAAAACGCACACTTGGCTCAGTGAAATACCTGAATACAGAGCACTTCAATGTATCTTCAGGAAATTTGGGGAGAATCTGATCTGGCTCCTTATTGAGCAAAAACCTCTACATCGAAACCTTCAAAATTTCAGAGCTGTAATGAATGGTAAACATCCAGTCCCAATCATCACAAAGACTACATGTACAGTCTACTGCTCTGGTATATTGTCATCAATGGCAAACAGTTTTGTCAGGCATGCTTTACCTGTTCACTAGTGGTCCCACACTCGGTGAAAGTAGCCTTACGCTTGGTGCCATACACCTGACAGTGCACCTGTGATATTGGCAGTGCTCCCCAAGGTTGGAAGTTAGGAACTGTGGGTATGGCCATGTCAGGGTTCTAACTGACATGTACACCTGTACTTCTAACAGAGCAGGACCACCTGATGTTCAGTCACTGACCTGAAGATCAACAAAAGAAATCAACCTTGTAAACATTTAGTTGGCCTACTATGGTGTACAAGTAGATAACTTACCATGGGAGTGCTAAAGTACCATCTTTCAGTACAAAAGCTATTACGTGTATTACAACTTGGATTGAACTGTGTATTTGACCATCGAATTATGATTTGACAAACCATCCGGAGACGAATTCCATAAGACGACACAACAAATGTTTCCATGCACTGATGTATTGGCCGTAAAATAGTGACAAGATGTCCTATGAAGCCAAATTTAGCATGGAAAATAGTGAAGCTTTTACTGTTAATGTTAACATGGTTTAGGCTAAATAGAAAACACAGAATTTTCCGAACCGCTTTTGGAAGGTTTCTGTACAGGATAGTATGAGAATAAATTTGATGTCCAGGTTCATAGCTCATTGCTTTGCAAGGCCTAGGAAATTCAACATGTTCAAGCTACAAGTACATCAGTACATGTACAAAAGCAAGAGAACCAGACAATGACTATGCTAAATGCACATGTGAAGGGAAAAGTTCTCAACAAGGACATCACTTGACACCTTGAGCACAAACCGTATGAGACTGGTCTGAAAAATTCTTTATAGGTAAAAACCCCTCCACATAAACTGACATCACTAATTTTCTCCTGCAGTGGTTCATTAGCCATCAGAAAGTGATCACATGTCGTGTACCAAAAATTAAATTTAGCAATGAAAATATTTTTCAGACCAGTCTCATGTAGCATGTATATGCATGATAGGGTTTGCATGCACAAGGTGTCAAGCTTCAAGTCAGCAAGTGATGCCCGGATATAGAACTCTTTCCAAATTACGCTTTATAAGTACATGTAGGCCAACGTGAAGCAATATTTTCACTGTTAAATTTGAAATTTATGACATGGGCCAACATGTCATAAAGCTGTCATCATTTGTCATTAAAGCTGTCACCATTTTCTGATGGCTTTAAAAACAGTGCAAGGAAAAATAAGCGATGGCCGCACAAGTGGAGCTCCATCCATGCCACCTGCATAAGTCAACTCCACACTACAGTACAATTTGCGAGTAGGCCCCAATTACCGGCAAACAATGAGAGCGTTAACAGTTGAACTCCACAACAGTACAATCGTCATTCAGAAGTTACCGCACTTTTCGAGGCCGGTGACACTCTCTAACCTAAGGCGAAAGTGAGTCTAACATTTTGCGTTGCAGCAACAAGAAGCTTTCTGCTTGTACTTCCAGTATGTTACACTTGCAGATAATTTGCTTGACTAAGATTAGTCAAGCAAATTCTATTAAGCTAGTACTATTACCATGGAGGAAGTCATGTTCTAACTGTAAGCCCACCATGAAGAGGAGGCCTAAATCAAATCAAGCGCCATAATGGCGCGGATGTTGAAGTTGCAGAGATGATTAAAAGTATAAATTATGCCTGCCTGCATCTTTGGTTCACCACGTGCACTATGAGAAAAAATAAAGCAAGGAAATCGAAACAGAAGAGGACCGTTAGAAGAGAAAACAAAGGTCGTGTACCTCTCTCAGGATTCAACCAGAACGTAATAACCATAATCAACCACTCGTTTTTCTGCGCACAAAAGAGACACACAACGCGCTTTATGCGATAGGCCCCGTTCACACAAGACAACCGCGATTTTACAATAATTGAAAATAAGCCAATCAAAAACGAGGTCTTATCTTCATGTCGTCAACCTGTCGGATTTATTTTAAGATCTATGTGATTGGTTTTTATAATAAGAGATGCATTACAAAAATTAAGTATGATACAAAAGTGTCATGACATAAGTTTTGAATTTTGTTTTTGTTACTGACAATGCATTGATAGTTTAATGTGAAAATTTACTTCACTGGACGCTTGGTAAAATAAAAAAATATGCCACTACCCGGCATGCTCTGCGATGTAAACAATGCAAGATGGCGACGCACTGTGCTTTAAGAATTTTCGTTCTTTTTGTGAAAGTGACGCTGTTTCTTCCTCTTTCACTTTCTCAGGTAACAACAGATTCAACTTTGAATGTGACCATGGATATTACTGACCCCTCTGGGACCAATGCAGATGGTTTAACGTCTCCAGAAGTCGTGATTGAAACAGAAGCCCCTAGTCGTGCTAGCCCAGTCGACACTGCGACAACCATGACAACCAGCACGACCAGTTTGCCGCCACAGACTGGTGAAGGAGCAACTGTTATTCCGCCGAACACAGGTTTGGTTGAGTGATGTCATTATCTCCTTCTTCTTCCAAGAGATAGAAAACTTCATATATTTGAAGACTCGGGCACAACGAAATGACAAGCAGTTACAGTTTTAGAAGCTCAATTGCAGAATACCCTGCCACCCCACATGATCAACCTTCTAGCTACCCCCAGAACTGTGGGGTCCGACGTCTGCTCCTTTCCCATGAACCCCACAGAGAAAGAGTCTTTTTCTTCATAGACAATGCATGACATTTAACAGGGCATGAACAGCAATTCCATTTGATTTATTTACCCATAAAAATGCTGCTTCATTTCTTCCAACTTCCAAGAGTATTATGTAAGATAGCTTAGGCCATGAGAATGAAAGATTTGCGTTCGGAACATTTTGGAAAAACATTAGGTTTTTTTCATGATTCATTATTCATTATTTTTCGTATATGACGGTGTGCAGAGTGCGAAGTGGGCAAGTGCGATGAATATGTAACGTACGTAGTGAGAATTCACAAAAGATCAACAGCAACATGCAATATACTGCATTCCCTGGTAGGCCTACATGACACTGCTAAATTCTTCTTACATTCAACTGAGCTTAATGCATATTCAGTTCAATAATTGGCATGCCAGCCGCAAGTAGCCACAACCCCACGTTCCATACATGTATAAGGCGAATGAGGTCTCATCAAGTTGTCAAAGAGAACAAGTTTTGATCGGATACAGCGTTCTGTATACTCCGGGCCGACCTGCCAAGGCAAGTCAATGTGCAACGGGATGGAAGCTGCACGGCCTCACAATGCTAATGGGATTGCTTGTACGTCATTTAAATGTACAGATATACATGTACAGTAATGTCCGTGCTCGGTGGATACTTCCCCGGCCGGGCCAGGGCAGTGCTTTATGTGTATGCATATTACAGTCTTACAGAATTTGATCGTTCATAGTAGGTACATGTAGGTACATGTATGCGTAGATATACACATTTTGGACCCTTTTACTGCTGTATGATTTAGGATTTGAAATGGATTTTTTATTCCTGCATTTTTCTGAAAATAATGAATTTTTTAAAATAATGAACTTTTTTCATGGGGTGTTTTGGACCATGCGGGTGGTAGACGCAAACTGAAAATTTTCATTCTCAAGGCCTTACCTACCTTTGTTAGGAGTACCAAGAAAGAAAAGGGTCAAAACCATGCCGTTTTCAAAAAAGGGCGCAAATATTTCCTGATCAGTGTCTGAGAGTCATACGGTTCACATAGCCGCTCAACAGGAAGTGTTCACTGTGCAACAGCACGCTCACGCACACTGTTACCCAATGGCTGTTGCTTGTTTTACTTCAATTTGCGTGTAAATAACGAGGAGCCCTGTGCTTTGTCAGTGTGGCCCCCAGTGTGCCGCAGCCAACTGCCATTTCAACCAGCACGGCTAAGAATTGCACACACATGTATGGAAATTTCCATGTCTATTGTATCGATCGCAGCTGTAGTCAACCGTTTGGTCGGGGCTCATCTCCGAAAGTACACATGGGTACCGCGTGACTCTCAGACACTGATCAGGAAATATTTGTACTTTTTTTGAAAACGGCATGGTTTGGGCCCTTTTCTTTCTTGGTACTCAAAACAAAGGTATGTAAGCTACATGTATCTTGCATAAAACTCTTGGGGAAATAAGGCAAGAGTCTCCTCCACCATGATTGACTGTGGCGGCAGTCAATCATGGCGACTGACATGATTGACCTATTGAAATCAAATTGAGTGACATCCAACTAGAACATGAAAGCAGGAATACTGTTACTGTGAATAACGTGGAAACTTTCCTTTTTGACAAAACTTTTATAGGCTTAGCTACAAATTTTCAGAGTTTGATACGAATGCCTATAGGATATCAATCATCTATTAAAGAAATGACTTTCCCTCAAGTACATCATTTTCCTAGTTCCGGATTTTAAAAAGTTTTCAGTCAAATCATGGCATAAACTTCTTCAAAAATTAGTTTGCCCATATACATGTATCAGAATTTAAGTGAATAATTGTAAGCGTAGTGAGTTAGACCTACCCCTCAATAATTTTTATCGATTTTTTGGCTCCATGAGTTTTGACAGAGGTCGAACTGAGGTCAGTTTTCACTTCAACCAATCAGGAACATAATGAATCCTGACCTAGGAAAACGACAAACAAGTACCTTCTATAGGCTTTTGCTTCCATTAATTTATTTCACTCAAAACAGCTTGTACCCTGAATAAAAATTCTCCAAATTCACCTCCCAAAATGGTCCTTAAACTGTCTAATACACCCATCTTAAGATCAAGTGAGAATTGGACATTCCATTAAAGATGATACATGTAAGGTTTACTCACATTTGGAAAGAAAAGAGAAGTTTCCCCTTTAAATTGGGAGCGGTCTTGTCGTGGAGTGCAATGTCGCCATCTTTTTCAAATAGCAATTTGAACGGGTCATGCTATTTAGCATCAACAAGCTTCAATGAGTGTCAACAAAGCATAAAAAAATATTCAAGCATTTTTATACAAATATTTTATATTTACAATATTAGAAAGGCTCCTAAATATCATATTCAATGTATCACGTTATCAAAAATGGAAATTTATGGGAATTTGAGCGACAAGTTTGGACCTACATGTACTCGTGCAGCCCGACTGGCCGCTTTTAAAACCACTTTTAAATATTTAGATGGTATTTTCAAGTTGTTGACACATTGCTGACGATAGTTGTATGTTTTGACGCTTGTTGACACTAAATAGCACGACCGATTTGCATTGTGTGTTAATATCCTGGAGATGACATCACAGTGCGCTAGCCTCTAGTGGACCATTCACAAAAAGCATACCATATTGGCACACGCGTGCCAAGTTACTCTGACTTGGTAAAACCCACGGAATCAAGTAGGGACTGAAAACCCAATCCACATGTGAACCGAGCCAGGAATCGAACCCAGACCACAGAGGTGGAAGGCGTGGAAAGAACCACTACGCTAATTTGATTCCCTTAATTACTGTATGCCTCATCATGCTCATGTCTGTATCAGAGTAAATGGCTAGTACAGGTCCAGGGGACATTGAGCATGAGGATGAGTGCATGATCAGAGATGACAAGCAGGGACGACGAACAATGATGACTATGGCTGGAAATATCCAGCACGCATGTCCAGTCTTATTCCGAGACTAAATTAGACTCTGTGAATCGCCTTCTTTATCATTTTGACGTGGTCAAGAGAAATTTCCCATTTAACCCCTTCGCATTGGGAGGCGGCTAGACACGCCGTAATAATTGAGATCTTCAGCCCGCTTTTCAGCTATTATTCTCGGCCCGNGGGTACATGTAAGTAGAGCCGCATGCCACCGAACAATCAGCCTTTTCACCGCGTAATTCAAAGTGTGCAGAGCACGCAGGGTCACAAACCGAGAATTTGCGGTTTGGCAGGTGGCCTTCGTGGCCAAGCGAGGCTGGAATTCTTGGAGTCGGCTTTCGGGAAGAAATTCCCGTCGTCAAGGGGTTAAATCGAAAACGCTCTTGTCATTCAGTAGGTTTGACTACGTCCAGTTGTACTCTGGACATTGCGCTGTTCAGGAACAGTCGTCAGCATGCGTGTGCAGACACCAAATGCTTGTTGTAAATGTCTGCTAGCTTGGCCGGCGTGTTGTCTCCAGGTACATGTACCGGTATATGAGCATACAGTTTGAATCGCAAGATGAGGAAGATTGCGCTCTGAGCTTGGCCGACAAGAACAATTAAACAGGGAATTTCTCTTATCTTTCCTTATGTGAATAAACCGCAAAACCATCATTGGAATTCATAATTCCCACTGAATCCTAAGATGGGTGCATCAGTCAGTTTAAAGACTGTTTTGGAGGTGAATTCTTGGATTTGGATTTAGAGTGCAACAATGTACGAACTACATGTATTTTGAGAGAAAAGAGTTAATGGAAGAAAAAACCTATGAAGGGTAGGCCTACTTAGACTCTACCATTGCTAGACCATGTCAAAATGTTAAAAAAGGCACTTGAAGTTACTTGGACAAGTCCAGTGTCAAGCTCATCACACAATGCTACTTGTTTGGCATGTTAGGCCTATTGTATGTGTCATGGGGAGATTTGTTGTCCAAGCACTCTACGAATTGTCTCTTTTAATATTTGGACATGATTGATGATAGTAGAGCCACAGAACCTTACACAGGCCTTAATTGTATCACAGAAAACTTGTACGTACATGCGTACATGTACATGTACATGTACTGATTTAGTGCTGTTCTGTGTGTCGTGCGCACAAAACAGCTCTCAGTATTTCATGAACAGGAACAGTCAGGGCATTGTATTTCGAGCAAATAAACAAACTGCTTGGGTGAGTGAAACAACATGAGAAATCGGGGCTCACAGGAACGAACCTTTTTCGCAAAGGATAAGCATGTCCTCTCTTTTGTCTAGTTTGGGTTTAATAGGGCCAAAGATATGGTGGTTGTTCAGCAGATTGGACCTAGTGTGGGGCCAGTGGTAGCATATCCACACTATGGCAGATCAACAGGGGTAGGCCTACATGTACTCACTCAGATGATAAGCCGTTGCTGTCAGCATTGAGGCAGCTTGACCAATTACAGTGGGACTCCTACTTTTCTTTTTCTCTCTTGCCGTCAAATACGTCAAGTAAAATCCATGTTGTAATTGGACGAAATGCATCTCTATACCAGTGACCAACTTCATGAAGGCTTTCATTTTTTAAAAGTACTTTTTTGTAATATTCTGTATTTCTTTCAATAAGACATTGGAAGTTGCATCTGTGACTTGACAGTGAATGCCTGTGATGTCAACTGTTGCTGTGATGAAGACTGTACAGCTGAAGATCGTTCCTCATTTACAGTGTGTAGTGACACTTCTAAAATGTACGTTAGATGATTGACTATACTCATATATTTTCCTTGGTTTAAATAATGTGTAAGCTTCAGAGAAGAAGAGCCTTAATTGCACTGGAGGGGTCTGTTTTCTCTGATACTTTCAGAAATA